AAAGGGCTCACCAGCAGCGCCCACTCCTTCAGAGTCTGGCGCGTGGGGCCAAACGGAGAGACCCCGGGCTCGGACCCGGGCCGGCCCTCGCCGCCACCTGAGCAGCACAGCCGGGCCTGACAAGCCCCAAGCGCCCAGCGCCCGGAGGCGTCGCGGGCCCAGACTCTGAGCTGACTGAGCCAGAGGCAGCCCAGCCCCCATCCCGAGCTGAGAGCGAACATGGCGCGTCCTTCACGCCCCCTCAGATCCCCTCAGCCACAGGCCAGTCTTGCCACGGCCAGTAAACTTGGCTACTCTGCCGGCTCAAGTCAAAAGGGAGACATTTGCGAGGCTTTGCTGAAGCAACAGCAATACTGCTCACTGCGATCAGCAATTTAAACCTCAGCGGCACAAACCTCGGCGGCAAGCTGGAATTTCAAAGCTCAAACCAGCTACCCCGACTGGGACTTCTCGTCTACTCCCGCCCCTTTCGCAAAGGCCGATGGGATGGGTAGTTGCAATGGAGGCGGGGAGTGGTAGCACTCCGGCGGTGAAGGGAACTACATATCCCAGGAGGCAACGCGCAGGATAATTAGTGCAATAAGAGCAGGTGTTAGACCGAACTCGGAAGGCTTCAGCTCTTTGCCTCAAGCCCATTAGCCACTGGAAGGACTGGGGGGGGGGGAACCCTACACGAGAATCCAACTGGCCAATGGAAATCGTGGAAGGCCCAAGACGAGCAAGGCTGTGTGGTTTCCTTGGATACCGAGGACGCGACTTCTTTGGAGAGGGTGGAGCTTTGGAGTGAGACCCAGGGGGCCATAACCCTCAGAGAAAAATAGGAGCCTAAATAAGGAATAGGACCAAGGAGAGGGGTAAGATACTGCGCTTTTAAAAATGATTCGAAAAATAGGAGTACCTTCCGTGAGTGGTTAGATCTATACTTCATTAAACCAGCGTGGGGTACCCTGGGATGGAGAATCCCTCAACAAGAGGATAATGCCCGGTTAGTTATTTTTGAGGAAACTCCCTCTTTCATAGCAGATACAGGAATAGTGTTAGATTCCTGTCTCCTTCCTGACTCTAGGTGATCTTAGGCCAGTCATTGAACGTCTCTGGGTTTTAATTGCTTGCTTTTAAAGTGAGGTCAATAATACCTTCCTTGTCTTGCCTCAAAGAATTTTTTTAGGGATCAACTGAGATAATGGATGTGAGCACAGGCTACTAAGTCGCAATTTGAATTATAGTAGTTTTATTTTATAGCATAGACTCTTAATTTACCAAGAAAAATCTAAGAGATCAATACTTGTGTTGATAGTAGCATTGTTCTCTTTGACTACAAATGACCCTTGGTTTTAGGACTAAAATAAGATTAAAAGGGGGGGGGGGACAGAGAGAGCCAACATAGTGCAATGGGAAGAGTATGGAACTGGTTATTTTCCTGGCTCTGCCACTGATTTATCTGTGTCACCTACCCCTGTTTCTTCATCTTTAAGATGAAGAAGGATTATACTAAATGACTCAGTAAGGTCTCTTCAACCTATTATTATTATGTGGGCAATTTTTAAAAATGAAAAGAGATTTATTCCTTTCCTGCTATCTCTTCCTCTCAGTGCTCCTTCCTCCTCCAACAAATTGTTCACTAAGTTCTTTAGCAAAGACACACTGTAGATGATGACGTTTAATAAAATGCAAGTGTTGAAACTGAATGCCTTAAAAAATGAAGCCCTTGGCCAAATGAAGTAACCAGAGCTACTGGAAATTACAATGATAGAAAGATGGGCTCAAGTCCTTATAAGCCCAAGTCCCAGGGTTTTTTGGCTAGTCATTACTTTTTTTAAAAGTCAGTGTTTTTCTTTTTTTTTTTTAAACATTTTTGTTATTGAGTTACAGTCATTTTAGAATGTTGTGTCAAATTCCAGTGTAGAGCACAATTTTTCAGTTATACATGAACATACATATGTATGTTCACTATCACATTTTTTTTTCACTGTGAGCTACCACAAGATCTTGTATATATTTCCCTGTGCTATACCATAAGTCAGTGTTTTTCTCAAGTTATCCTTTCCTCCTTTCTGTCCTTCCAGTCCTTCCTCCCTCCTTATTCTTCTGTATGAAGGTTCACGATAGGTGCAAACTTCTAGGTTCACTTATGTGCAAGCTTTTAGATTCACCAAGTTCCCACTGAATACTAGTCCTGTCCTTGGCTTTGTGTTTCATTTGGTCATAATTATTCAAACTGATATTAAAACTGTCTTTTTAATGAAAACCCATGGGAAAAACTTTGAAAAAGAAGTTGAAAAGATTTCCTAAGACTGGCTCAAATAGTGGAGGATTTCTTACTATATAAATGCTCATGAATATTTTACTTAATTTAACAATTTATATTCAATAAATGGACAGCAGAGGGCATAAGAGAGTTTTCAGAGAAAATGTAACCTAAAGAAAGGATCCTGGAATTCAGCTTAAGTGGGGGAAGCCCTAGAAATTAACTTTCTTAATTATAAAATTTTGAATTAAATATATCTTATGACATCTATTCTTATGAAATCTTAGTAATCTAACCTAAAAACTAACAATACTGAGAAGTAGTTAATGAATATGTAAATAGTCCTATCTGAAATCTATATATTATTTGTTTTCATTCAGATGACGTATAGGAAAAAGTTTGTTATTTAATGTAGTCAAATTTCCCCCACTTTAAACACTTTGAGAAATTGCCTAGTTTACAAATATCTGAAGAAGATTCTCAAGTTAAGGGGATGTGAGTGCTTTGTACATTAAAGCAATATGTATTTGTGTGTGTGTCTAAGATAATATTTATTGCAAACAGCCATTATGGAAAACAGTATGGAGATTCCTCAAAAGACTAAATATAGACTTACCATTTGATCCAGCAATCCCACTCCTGATCATATATCCAGAGGGAACCTTAATTCAAAAAGATACATGCACCCCAGTAGCACAGCAGCACTATTTACAATAGCCAAGGTGTGGAAACAACCTAAATGTCCATCGACAGATGACTGGATAAAGAAGCTATGGCATATTTATACAATGAAATACTACTCAGCCATAAAAATGAATAAAATAATACCATTTGCACAATGTAGGTGGACCTGGAGATTATCATTCTAAGTGAAGCCAGCCAGAAAGAGAAAGAAGAAGACCATGTGATATCACTTATATGTGGAATTAAAAAAAAAAAAACACCAAACTTATTTACAAAACAGAAAGACTCTCAGACATAGAAAACAAACTTATGGTTACCAGAGGGGAAGGGAGTGGGAAGGGATAAATTGGGAGTTTGAGATTTGCAGATACTAACTAATATATATAAAGTAGATAAATAATAAGTTTATGCTGTATAACACAGGGAACTATATTCAATATCTTGTAGTAACTTACTGGTGAAAAATAATATGGAAGCAAATATATGTATGTTCATGTATGATGCATTCATATATGAAGCATTATGCTATACAGCAGAAATTGGCACTACATTGTAAACTGACTATACTTCAATAAATAAATATATATATAATGTATATTATATATACAAAAAATATTTATTGCAAGCAGAGAGTTTACTTATAACAGAAAAATTTTAAAAGCTCACTTTAGGCTAGAGTTCTTATATGTACTAATGCTTCATTCCATTTCTACAAGGTAGCAATAGTGTTGCAACCATTTACACAGTAGCATCAATATATCCTTTGAGTAGAAATTCCATTTACGTTTTATGTATTTTAAGGCTATGTGTTACTTATGTGTGGGTTCAGGATTAATACTGCTTCCTGGTAAAAATTTTTGTCATTAAATAATGATCCTCATTATCTCTAGCATTGCTTTCTATCTTGACATATTTTAATCTAATAATAATATTTTCATCCTTTTACCTCAAACCTGTTACATTATATTTGGGACTTGTCTCTTATAAACAGAATAGAGATAGGTATTTTAAATACAATTTGAGAATCTGTCTCAACAGGTAAATTTAATCTACTTAAATTTTTTGTAATTATTTTTACATTTATACTTATTCTTACCATCTTATTTTGTGTTTTCTATTAACTTTGCCTGTTTTACCTTTTTTGTTGTTTCTTTTTCTCTATCCATGTCTTTAGTTTAAATGTTTTTCTTTGTTCACCTTTTCCTTCTGTAGTAACTTGAAAGGCTATATTCTTTTCTTCTAATCATTATCCTTAAATTTTTCACATACTCACTTGCCTTAGCAAATGTCTTATCAGCCAATATCTCTATCTTCTTCTCAGTAGAATTTTTTAACATTGGTCTTTTCCCTTCTATCTTCCATGTCATTTATTGCCTTGTGTATTTTAGTCCCACCTTGTTTTTGAAGCCACACAAGTAGTTATTATTGTATTGTTGTTGTTTATATTTAATGCTTGTTTAAATTTAGCAACATTTACCAATTTATTTGCTCATCTCTTTCCTTCTAGATTCAGGTTTGTTTTTATGGAAGCATATCTATTATATATATTCAGTGAGAGTCTCTGAGTAATTTTTTCAGACTTTGTCTGAAAATATTTTTATTTCACCCTCACTATTAAGTAATAATTTAGTTGACAGTTATTATTTCTCAGTACTTTGAAGAAGTACCATTTTTGGTAATGAGAAATCTGCTATCTGTCTAATTTAGTTCCTTTGTTTAGAATCTGCTTTTTCTCTTTGGTTATTTTTGGAATTTTTTCCTATGTTTTAATAGTTCACAGTCTTAGCACTCAGTGTAAGTTTAGTTCTTTTTGTTTGCTTTGCTTTGTTTTAAAGTCAAGTTTATTGAGGTATAATTTACACAGACTGAAATTCACTCTTTTTAGGTATACAGCTCTATGAATTCTGGCAAATATGTATAGTCTTGTAACCAGCATGACAATCAAGATGTAGAACTTTTCTATTGCCAAAATTCCTTCAAATCCCTTTGTAGTCAAGCATCCTCCCCCAACATTCAGCCTCTGGCAACCACTGATCTATTACCTGTCCTTATGATTTCTGCCTTTTCGAGAAACTCATATAGTAAATGGAGTCGTATAGTACATAGCCATTTGACTTAGTATGATATATTTGAGACTGTCCATGTTGTTGTATGTATCAGTGGTTTATTCCTTTTGATTTCTGAATTGTATTCTATTGTGTGAATGTGCCACAATTTGTTTATATATCAAGTTGATATTTGGGTTGTTTCCAGTTTTGGTGAATGAGTGAAGCCAATCTAAACATTTGTGTAGAGTTTTGAATGGATATATGTTTTCATTTCCCTTGAATAAATACATATGAGTGGAGGATGGCTGGGTCATTTGGTAAATGTATATTTAACTTCATAAGAAATATCTAAACTGTTTTTCAAATGATCTAAACAATTTTGCATTCCCAGTAGCAGTATGTGAGAGGTTCCAGTTACTCCATGTCCCCACCAACACTTGGTATTGTTACTTTGAAAAAAGAAACACTCCGATAGGTGGATAGATGTATCTCATTGTGATTTTGTTTGCCTTTCCCCAGTTACTAATGAAATGAGCATATTTTCACATTCTTATTTGCCATTTGTAATATGTTCTTAGGTCAAGTATCTGTTTAAATCTTTTGCTTCCCTCCCCCTTTTTTGCTCTGTTTGATTTCTTATTGAGTTTTGTGATTTCTTTATATATTTTTGATACCAGTTTTTTGTCAGATACATTATTGACACACATTTTCTTCCCACCTGTGACTCTTGTTTTCAGTTTCCTAACACTGTCATCTGAAGAGCACATCTTTTAAATTTTGAAAAGTCTTATTTATTTATGTTTCTCTTTTATGATTTGTGGTTTTGTGTCCTATCTAAAAGAAAGAAACAAACAAAAACAACCTTTCTCCAAAC